ATCCTAGCTCCACCTACCTCACAGGGTGTCTGTTGTGGGGAGAGGCAGGGAAGGAAGGCAGTGGACTCTAATCCAGAGAACCAAGTTTGATTCCTCCCCCCTTCACCTGAAGCCTGCTGGGTGACCTTGGGCCAGTCACAAGTTCTCTCAGAGCTGTTCTCTCAAGAGCAGTCCTCGAAAGAGCTCTCTCAGCCCCACCTCCCTCACAGGGTGTCTGTTGTGGGGAGGAGCGGAAGGGAAGGGAGTTTGTAAGCCGCTCTGAGACTCCTTCGGGTAGTGAAGGGTGGGGTATAAATCCAATCTCTTCTTCTTTATTTTTTTTTTTGGGCCTCTTTTTTCTGTAAAGGAAGCCTACAACTGCAAAAAAAAAAGCACTACCTTCCCCCCCCCCATTTTTTTTTGTAAAAGAAATCCACATCTTGTGATGATGATGGTCGCTTTGATGTGCAGAAGTGAACGCTTTATTATTTATTTGGAGTTTCCGTTTGCAAACGGAACCCTCTTCCGCGGACAGAAACACACCCGCCCTGCGAAGTCTGCCTAGATTAGTATTTGTGAACCGCAACCTGTTTTGCCAAAATAGTTTTCATCTTTAAAGGTCTTGTGTTTGGGAGGCTGGCCAAGCCTTGGGATTCCTTCTCCGGGTCCGTCGGCTGGGAACGGGGTTCCTGAGCATGAACAGAGTGTGTGCCTTTCACCTCCTCAAGGTCATGTAGGAGGGTATCACCCGTGGATAAGGACATGGCGGCAAAAGGCAGTGGCGGGTCACATCCCCACGCTGTCACTGCAGCTTGCCAGTCACGCTGCCAGCCTAACCTACCTCACAGGGTGGCTGTGAAGACAAAATGGAGGACTGCAGGGCTATTTTGGGGCAGGAACGCACAGAAACGGAGTTCCGGCTGGCTTCCGAGTTGGCCACGCCCAGCAGGAACTCATTAGCATAACAGGCCACACCCAACCGCAGAAACTCATTAGGATTGGCTACAATTAGGGGTGTGTGGCCTAACATGCAAAGGCGTTCCTGCTACAAAAAAAGGCCCTGGGTTTGGACAACAAACAAGGTCAACAGAATAAGGAGCAAAAGGTGGGTGTGGCTGGATGACCACACCTCTGGTAACATGGGGGTGCGGCCTAATATGCTAATGAGCTGTGTTGTCAGGGGTGTGGCCTAATAGGCTAACGGGTTGCTGCTGTTGGGTGTGGCCTATTATGCTAATGAGTTCCTGCTGGGCCTTTTCTACAAAAAAGGCCCTGGAGGACTGTAAGACGTTTTAGAGCCCCATCAGGGATGTGGCCAGGATTTTTGACTTTGCGGGGCATTTAAATAAGTCGGGGGGCACCCCCGTAGACACTGCTGGCGGGCCAGGCAGGGTGACAGCTTGGCTCAGTGCAAAATTTTTTTAAAATAAATCGGCTGGATGGGGAGTCGGGGGGGTGGACAGCGAGTCGGGGGGGCAGCCCCGATATGCCCCCCCCGTAGCTATGGGCCAGATCCCCATTGGGGGGAAAGGCAGGGTATACCACTGTGCTCAGGAAGATCATTGAGTGGCAAACTGTCTGGTGGTGTGGTATTTTCCAGCATGCCCTCTTATGTATCTAATGTATCAGCACTAGCACTTTATGAGACTCTTGTTTTATTGTAATTGCATTTCAAACTGGTTTTATGTGAATTGAAGCTGCCTGGCCACGGCCACTATAGCGAGGTATACAGAATCCGATGACTCCGATAAGGTGCTAGAGGAAATTGATACTGCATGTAGGATGAATTCGTCATATGCCAAGAGAAATCAGCTTCCAAGAGAGGTCCATGTGAGATTTCACAAGAGAACAATAAGAGAGGAAATTCTAAAAATGTCAAACAAAACATTGTACATAGACAATAAAGGAATAAAGGTTTTAAAGGAAACTCCCTGGAGAGTTAGGGGAAAAATTGGTCACTTACAGACCAATTACATAAGCTGCCCTGAGCCCGCTCGCGGGGAGGGCGGGGTATAGATTAAATGAATGAATAAAATAAAATAACAAATAAATATAAATAAAGCCAATAAATGAATGCGGTACCTTGTAATCTTTACACCGGCCCTGCAAGATAAGCCAGCGTTACAGCAGAGAGACTGAGGCTGAAGCGCAGAGACTCAACGAAAGGCAACGAAAGAGATTTGAAATGGGAAGGGCCTCCTGGATTGAAGCGCCATCTGTTAGTTGATATGCTGTATGTCCGGGTTGTCTTTCTTTCCTTTACTTATACCCTCCTTTTCTCCCCAAACGGAACCCAAAGCGGCCTACGTAATTCTCCTCCATTTTATCCTCATGACAACCCTGGCTGAGAGTGTGAGAAGGTTTATGAAAGGAACTTCCACACCATTCAAGCCTCCTCTCTTCTTCAGGGAGATAATTTTTTAATCATAACCAGCTCACGTTGTACAAAGGATGTTCCAGTTTGGGGAACTGGGTTTGATTTCTCCACTCCTCAACATGCAGCTGCTGGTGTGACCTTGGGTCAGTCACAAGTTCTCTCAGAGCTGTTCTGGAAAGAGCAGTTCTCGAAAGAGCTATCCTAGCCCCACCTCCCTCACAGGGTGTCTGTTGTGGGGAGGGGAAGGGAAAGGGATTGTAAACCGCTCTGAGACTCCCTCGGGTCGTGAAGGGTGGGGTATAAATCCAGTCTCTTCCTCTTTATCTTCTTCTGCCCAAGACAGTAAGTCTGTCTTAGTATCCTTTTGTCACTATTAGTTGTATTTTGGTTTTCTGTTGTTTTATTCATTAAAATATTGATATCTGTCTTTTCCTTGTGGCTCAAGGCAGCTTATAAATCATAATTTCAAACCTCACAATTTAAAACGAGCAAAGTGAAACCCCAAGTAACAGCCCTCCCTTCACAGGATACTTGCAGGTTATACATAAAATGTACCTGTAGTGTCTCCTGAGAGTTTTTAAAGACAATACACACACACACACACAAAAAAAACCCCAGAGCCCATCCCACAATATGGGAGCTACTGTGGAGAAAGTGTGGGCTTTGGTTGATGCCAGGCAGGCAAACTTCAGTGTAGAAACAGCCATGGAGATATTAGATTGTCTCTTGTCGTAACCTTTTCCCCTCCCCGCCTCTTGCATCTTCTTCCTTTGCTTCACGCAAGATGGAATTTGCTTATAGGATTCTCTGCTGCTGGATAGGGCAGTAGCCACAGTCCCGAGTGGCTTTAAAAGGCACTTGTACAAATTCACAGAGAAGGAGAGGCCTGGCATTAGAAGAAGAAGAGGAGATTGGATTTGTACCCCACCGATCAATACCCGTAGGAGTCTGAGAGCGGCTGACAATCTCCTTTCCCTCCCCCTCCCCACAACAGACACCCTGTGAGGGAGGCGGGGCCGAGAGAGCTCTTTCGAGGACTGCCCTTGAGAGAACAGCTCTGAGAGAACTTGTGACTGACCCAAGGTCACACCAGCAGCTGCATGTGGAGGAGTGGGGAATCAAACCTGGTTCTCCCAGATTAGAGCCCGTGCTCCTAACCCCTACACAGAATTTAGCCATAACGGGGGTGGGAAGTGCCGTTAAGTCGCACCAGCTTGCGGCCACCCCTGCAGGGTTTTCAAGGCAAGAGGCCATTGCCTGCCTCTACGTAGCAACCCTGGGCTTCCTCGGTGGTCTCCCATCCAAGTTCTGACTAGGGTGCACCCTGCTTCACTTCCCATATCTGATGAGATGGGCCTAGCCTGGGCCTTCCGGGTCAGATTGGCCGTAATAATGGAACCTCCATACACAGATGCAGTCTACCTCTGATTATCTTTTAGAGAGGAGAAGGCTGCAGCCATTCTGCCCTTCTTGTTTGCTTCCCATATCTGATTGGCCGCTGTGAGGGACCATGTACTACACTGGATGGATCTTTGTTCTGATCCACGAGGGCTCTACAGCTGTTCTGTGACCAGAAGTTCCAGATAATAAGAGGCCAAAGCAAGTATAGCCTCTAAGTAATTGGAAGCAGTGTTCCCTCTAAGCTGAGTTAGTGTGAGCTAGCGCACCATTTTTTAGCCTCCGGCTCACAGATTTTTGACTCAGCTCAGGAAAGATGGCTCCAGAGCAAACTAATGTAGGCAGTAGCCAAATTGGCCGCTCACAACTTTAATGCCAGGAGCTCGCAAGGTAGAATTTTTGCTCACAGGACTCCACAGCTTAGAGGGAGCATTGATGGAAGCGGTGGCACTTCTTCTTTTTAAACAAAGCAAGACCTTGCCTTTGTGTTCTGATTCATATCCTAAGGTTGTCTGCCCCCCCCCTTTCTCCGTCTTTACCGAGGCATATCTGGGCATGCAGCGAGGGATGTGGTTTCCGTGCACGTTGGGCTTTCGTTTACAGTGTCTGAAACTTGGGCAGCTGCAGTGCTTTGCCCGAACATGTTATAGAAATATAAAAATCGTACTGCAGGGTTTACAGGACCTTTTACCAAAGCCTAGAATAGAGTTCAGTTTAAGTCTGTTTGGACTTCTTGGGTCTGTGGGGTTTAGAGAGGTGAACATGAGGCAAAGAATTACAGTATCATATGATTCCTCGGGGACCAAAAGACCAATTAGGTAAACTCAGCCTGGTGCTGCTTTTCCTTGAGAGCCAGTTTGGTGTAGTGGTTAAGTGCGCGGACTCTAATCTGGGAGAACTGGGTTTGATTCCCCACTCCTCCACTTGCAGCTGCTGGATGACCTCGGGCAAGCCGCAGTTTCTGTCAGAGCTCTCTCAGCCCCCCCTACCTCACAGGGTGTCTGTTGTGGGGAGGGGAAGGGAGTTTGTCAGCCGCTCTGAGACACCTTTGGGTAGTGAAGGGCGGGGTATAAATCCAATCTCCTCTTCTTCTTCTCCTTCATGTGGCATATTTCCCTCTATTTATTTATTTAAAACATTTGTTAGCCGCCTTTCTCCGTTGCGGAACTCAAGGCAGCTTCCAGTATGAATAGAACATTATGAAAACAATGAAAACAACAGTAATAAAACCTGTAAAAGTCACAAATCAAAAGTGTTAATTAGGACTGCCTATAGTAAAAGCTAGGGAGCTGCGGTGGCTCAAGTGGTGAACACGCTGAACTGCAGGCTGTGGAAGGTCAGTAGTTCAGCAGTTCGAGACCCGAGTGTGCCGCATGACGGAGCGTCTCTGGCCCCAGCTCCTGCCAACCTAGCAGTTCAAAAGCAAGACATTGCAAGTAGATAAATAGGGACCACTTTGGTGGGAAGGGAACAGCGTTCCGTGCGCCTTGGTGTTTAGTCATGCCGGCCACATGACCACGGAAACGTCTTCGGACAGCGCTGGCTCTCCGCTTTGAAACGGAGATGAGCACCGCAACCCTAGCGTCGGACTCGACTGGCTTTCGAGCAAGGGAACCCTTTACCTTTACCTTTATAATAAAAGCTAAAGTTTGGTGTGGTGGTTAAGAGCCACCTTGGGCCAGTCACAGCTCTCTCTGAGCTCTTCTCTCATAAGCAGTCCTCGAGAGAGCTCTCTCGGCCCCACCTACCTCACAGGGTGTCTGTTATGGAGAGAGGAAGGGAAGGAGATTGTAAGCCGCTCAGAGACTCCGAGTGAAGGGCAGGGTATAAATCCAATCTCTTCTCTCTCTCTCTCTGTTCTCTCTAAATCAAAATGCAGTCCTAAATAAAACCGTCCTCAGTGGCCTCCTGAAGATCAACAATGAGGGGTCCAAGAGCACCTCTCTAGGGAGGTTGTTCCATAACTATGGGGCCGCCACTGAAAAGGCCGTCTCTCATGTCTTTAATCGGCAGAACAGTCGGGGGGGTGGGGGGCGTCTCTCCGTCTGATCTTGATTTCCAGGCAAGGGCCTATAGGAGAAGATGGTCCTTCACAGGGGTCGTTTCATAGAAAAAGAGGTGCAGGAGCTCATTAGCATAACTCATTTGCATAACTCATTTGCATATGCCACACCCCCTGACATCACCAGAGGTGTGTCAGAAGGCAACACCCACCGCTCAGGCTCCACTGGACTGTTTTGGATTGCTAGCTATTGGGGGGTGGGGGGGAATGTGCACATCTGTCCTCGCAGAGGAGGGAGAGCTTGTACCTGAATAGAACTTGGTCTTAAAGGTGCCACTGGACTGTTTTGGCCCAGGGGGTCCGG